GAAGTTGCAATTTAGCCCTTTGAAAATTTTCAGTTACCGCCTAAAAATTGCACTTTAACTTGATGAAAGTTTTAGAAATTGCAGCCCCGATGAAAAATTAAAGTTTACCCGCCAAAAATTACTTTTATCCCTTAAAGTTTTTGAAGTTGCAGTTCACCCCTGAAATTGTAGTTTACTCCCCCTAAAAGTTTCAGATTGTGCAGTTTACCCCCCAAAAATTGTGGTTTACCCCTGAAAGTTTCAGAATTCGCAGTTGACCCTTGAAAGTTTGAGAAGCTGCAGTTTCCACCCAAAAAATTGTATTTTATCCCTGAAAGTTTCAGTGTTTGCAGTTTACCCCCAAACTTTCATTTGACCCATGAAAGTTTTAGAAATTACAGTTTATCCCCTGAAAGTTTCAAAAACTTTCATTTTAACCCCAAAAATTGTCGTTGACCGCCAAGAAAATTCCAGTTTGCACCCCTAAAAATTTTAGAATTTGCAGTTTACCCCCTAAAAGTTTCAAAATTTAAAGGTTAACATCAAAAATTACAATTTACTCACTAAAATTTACTATAATATTTATATTATATATATATATATATATATATATATACTATATATATGTATATATGAGATAGAGAGAGAGAGACGCCAGAGAGAGGCGAAAGAGTATGCTGGTACCAAGCACAAGTTTTGTGCTTGGTAGTAAGATTCTGTTCCCATCCACTCATTTTAATTCCCAATCACTCCCCAACTTATATGAATGTGAGCCCCGATTCAATGAGTGGAGGGGAATATGTCATCTCATTACCAAACATAAAAACTTGTGCTTTGTACTAAGCATACCCATATTTCTCATATATATATATATATATATATAGAGTATGCTTGGTACCAAGCACAAGTTTTGTGCTTGGTAGTAAGATGTCTTATTCTCATCCACTCATTTCAATTCCCAATCACTCCCCAACTTATATGAATGTGAGCCCCGATTCAATGAGTGGAGGGGAATATGTCATCTCATTACCAAACACAAAAACTTGTGCTTTGTACTAAGCATACCCATATTTCTCATATATATATATATATATATATAGAGTATGCTTGGTACCAAGCACAAGTTTTGTGCTTGGTAGTAAGATGTCTTATTCTCATCCACTCATTTCAATTCCCAATCACTCCCCAACTTATATGAATGTGGGCCCCGATTTTAATGAGTGGAGGGGAATATGTTATCTCACTACCAAGCACAAAAAATTGTGCTTGGTACTAAGCATACCTATTTTTCTCATATATATATATATATAAAGGATGATTTGCTATGACTGCCCCCGTAAGCAATTTTGGACCACTATGACTGATGATAAGTACCAATTGTCACGACCTTCAGATCCTAATCTCAAATTTGTTTTGATAGCAAATGAGTGGGCTTAAACATTTGTCCACCATTTATCAAGTGGTTATAGAAGGAGTGGTCTTTAAATAATATAAGAAATGATACCACTTTATTCATGAGTTAATGGTGTAAATATGATGTCAGTTCAGATCCACATATGTAAGGTGTGTATGCTGATTAGTGCGGATCATCAATTATGATCATAAGTTTTTCAGAGGTTGGTGTGAAAAGTTTCTTATAATGACAGCTTGTCCTCCTGTTCTTTTATTCTCTTTCTCCCTCTGTGTATGCATTTTTTTATCATATATTTTTATTTTAGTGGTTTAAGTTGACATGGATAAAGAAGTGAGTCCCGTGTTTTACACGCTATCCAGTTGAATGACAAAGTTATGGAACAATGTGTGATCGTGAATAATCTACTCTGGACAGTACATCATTTCCTATTACATTGTAACTATTTGTAGGTCCAAAAGAAAGACATACCTAAATCCTACAATTACAGAATCTGATTGTTTCAGTATTGGGAAATATGCATACCTAAATCCTATAATATTTATCTTATAGCTATCTAGTTGAATGATAATTTTATGGAACTATGTACAATCTTGATAATTCTACCATGACTAGTTCATCGACCCTTATTAAATTAAGGCCATATTTCATATTCAAAAGAAAGAAATTCCTAAACGGCTAAACCTTACAACTACAGAATCTTTTGTGTAACCAAAATAATTAGGAGAAATTTTCAAAAACAGATCCAATTCCAACTTTATTCACAAAAAACGACCTAGTCTCATTTTATTTAGTGCAATCGACCTAGTTTAGGCCACGTCAGCGTCGTGACTAGAAACTGGATCGATTAAAAAAAGCGATTTTTTAATTAGTCTGGGTTAGCAACCTCGACCAATTAGAAGCCAAGTTCTAATTAGTTGGAATTCTAAACCTGACTAATTGGATGGGTGTGCCAAATATTGTCGGGGTTGCCAACCCGACCAAAATTGTCGTGTTTGGCAACCCCGATTATTTGACAGAGAACGCCCAACCTAGGAAGATGATAAAGCATAGATTGTAGTCAACCTTGGTATGACCTTTAGAGAGAATTTGAACCGTCAGCAGCTCTACATGATCCAATTTCGAGCTCGAAAATCTAGCGAGGGCATCCAAATAGTTAGGGTTGCCAACCTTAACTATTTGGCAGAGAGCGTCAATGTTCAAAAACACGATTTTATTATCCCTACGGTTCGAGAGCGAGTCACGATTAATCGGATTATGCACCATCAATCGGATTATGCGGAATTATGCGTTTTTGAATTTTTAACATATATTTATTGTTTTTCATACATAAAAATGTATATAATTCATAAAAGATAGAAGATATATTAAGAAAATAAACATGTGACTAAATAAGAAAGAGAGGCAAAAGCGTACATGTAGTAGATGTGGACAACTTGGGCATTATAGGACTAGCTGTACCGTTAACAAGCCCAGGTATGTTTAATTACGTTGACAAGTTAAAATATTTTATTACTTAAATCATATTATTAATTACGCAATGCTACAAGAATTAAATCAACTTTAGAACAAGCACAAGAAAAGAAAGAGAGGCAAAAGCGTACATGTAGTAGATGTGGACAACTTGGGCATTATAGGACTAGCTGTACCGTTAACAAGCCCAGGTATGTTTAATTACGTTGACAAGTTAAAATATTTTATTACTTAAATCATATTATTAATTACGCAATGCTACAAGAATTAAATCAACTTTAGAACAAGCACAAGAAAAGAAAGAGAGGCAAAAGCGTACATGTAGTAGATGTGGACAACTTGGGCATTATAGGACTAGCTGTACCGTTAACAAGCCCAGGTATGTTTAATTACGTTGACAAGTTAAAATATTTTATTACTTAAATCATATTATTAATTACGCAATGCTACAAGAATTAAATCAACTTTAGAACAAGCACAAGAAAAGAAAGAGAGGCAAAAGCGTACATGTAGTAGATGTGGACAACTTGGGCATTATAGGACTAGCTGTACCGTTAACAAGCCCAGGTATGTTTAATTACGTTGACAAGTTAAAATATTTTATTACTTAAATCATATTATTAATTACGCAATGCTACAAGAATTAAATCAACTTTAGAACAAGCACAAGAAAAGAAAGAGAGGCAAAAGCGTACATGTAGTAGATGTGGACAACTTGGGCATTATAGGACTAGCTGTACCGTTAACAAGCCCAGGTATGTTTAATTACGTTGACAAGTTAAAATATTTTATTACTTAAATCATATTATTAATTACGCAATGCTACAAGAATTAAATCAACTTTAGAACAAGCACAAGAAAAGAAAGAGAGGCAAAAGCGTACATGTAGTAGATGTGGACAACTTGGGCATTATAGGACTAGCTGTACCGTTAACAAGCCCAGGTATGTTTAATTACGTTGACAAGTTAAAATATTTTATTACTTAAATCATATTATTAATTACGCAATGCTACAAGAATTAAATCAACTTTAGAACAAGCACAAGAAAAGAAAGAGAGGCAAAAGCGTACATGTAGTAGATGTGGACAACTTGGGCATTATAGGACTAGCTGTACCGTTAACAAGCCCAGGTATGTTTAATTACGTTGACAAGTTAAAATATTTTATTACTTAAATCATATTATTAATTACGCAATGCTACAAGAATTAAATCAACTTTAGAACAAGCACAAGAAAAGAAAGAGAGGCAAAAGCGTACATGTAGTAGATGTGGACAACTTGGGCATTATAGGACTAGCTGTACCGTTAACAAGCCCAGGTATGTTTAATTACGTTGACAAGTTAAAATATTTTATTACTTAAATCATATTATTAATTACGCAATGCTACAAGAATTAAATCAACTTTAGAACAAGCACAAGAAAAGAAAGAGAGGCAAAAGCGTACATGTAGTAGATGTGGACAACTTGGGCATTATAGGACTAGCTGTACCGTTAACAAGCCCAGGTATGTTTAATTACGTTGACAAGTTAAAATATTTTATTACTTAAATCATATTATTAATTACGCAATGCTACAAGAATTAAATCAACTTTAGAACAAGCACAAGAAAAGAAAGAGAGGCAAAAGCGTACATGTAGTAGATGTGGACAACTTGGGCATTATAGGACTAGCTGTACCGTTAACAAGCCCAGGTATGTTTAATTACGTTGACAAGTTAAAATATTTTATTACTTAAATCATATTATTAATTACGCAATGCTACAAGAATTAAATCAACTTTAGAACAAGCACAAGAAAAGAAAGAGAGGCAAAAGCGTACATGTAGTAGATGTGGACAACTTGGGCATTATAGGACTAGCTGTACCGTTAACAAGCCCAGGTATGTTTAATTACGTTGACAAGTTAAAATATTTTATTACTTAAATCATATTATTAATTACGCAATGCTACAAGAATTAAATCAACTTTAGAACAAGCACAAGAAAAGAAAGAGAGGCAAAAGCGTACATGTAGTAGATGTGGACAACTTGGGCATTATAGGACTAGCTGTACCGTTAACAAGCCCAGGTATGTTTAATTACGTTGACAAGTTAAAATATTTTATTACTTAAATCATATTATTAATTACGCAATGCTACAAGAATTAAATCAACTTTAGAACAAGCACAAGAAAAGAAAGAGAGGCAAAAGCGTACATGTAGTAGATGTGGACAACTTGGGCATTATAGGACTAGCTGTACCGTTAACAAGCCCAGGTATGTTTAATTACGTTGACAAGTTAAAATATTTTATTACTTAAATCATATTATTAATTTTATCTTTGATATTTTATGCAGCGAAACTGACAAACAAGACTAACGAACAAAGTACATGGAGATGCACTTTGTAAGCATAGTTTGGACCTGTAAGTAGCTAATTTGGACACAATTGTTGTGAATGATCTCACTTGATTTCTTGACCTGGTGCATAGTTTAAACACAATGTAACATGTACCTCTTTATTTTCCCATATGACAATAACTCTACCATTATCATTTTACTCAAATATTGTCTACAGAATTTAGCTACTCATATATTCTTTTTACTACATGTCCCTGTTTATCTTCCTTACAGGTATGAAGTGACAATGAACCATACAAGGAAGAGGAAGAGGTCAACCAGGAATAGGGGTTTTGCATGAGGAAGTTGTGATGAAGCTTCAGGATTCCAAAAGTTGTTTTTGTGATATGAGATGTTGTATTAAGACTCTGTTATGTGATAGGAGATAGTTTGCTTAGATGAACTTCCTACAAAAACTAAATTGAAGAGATTTGACGATTTGGATGATGAGCTGTGTCCTTTTATGTGATATGATTTTTTTTTGAGCTGGTGTCTCCTCATGTTTTGTGGTGATGCAGATGTTTTTTTTTGCTTTTTGAGCTGGTGTCTCCTCATGTTTTTGAGCTGGTGTCTCCTCATGTCTCCTCATGTTTTGGTTGTCTGTTGTTTACAAGTTTTTACATTGCCACGCAGTCCTGAAACTGATACAAACTGCAGTTATAAAAAGTGAAATATATCTACCAATATATACCATGAAATTTTCCCCATCAATTTAGAGGCTCTCTCTATTATGTTTTTCTGTGTCTCCATAAAATTTGTCATGATACAAACTGCAGTTATAAAAAGTGAAATATATCTACCAATATATACCATGAAATTTTCCCCATCAATTTAGAGGCTCTCTCTATTATGTTTTTCTGTGTCTCCATAAAATTTGTCATACTTCACTTGTTATGAGTCTTTTGACTGAGATTTTACATTGCTTTTCTTACTTCTGCTTCTAGCACTTCCTTACTTATGTGCATATCTTTCTGTGTCTCGGTTGCTTCTCTTTTGCATAACGTGTGCTTGTCTTAAAAATTCGTTGGCTTGCATGATCCATTTCCAAATCAATAACAATTCTCACCAATTTTTGACTAAAATTTATTCCGTCTGGTTTAACTTCATTTGTTGCGAGTCAAGTACAGGTCTACTAAGCCAACCTTACATCATAAGTAAGTTTTGATTCATGCGTCTTTTTCTCTCTGCATTATGTTCCCTCATCTATTTGCTATCCTCTACATGTGGCCTGGAAACATACCACAGCTGTGGTATGCTTTGAGATAAGCAAGATATATACTATGAAATATATCTACCAATATATACCATGAAATAAGCAAGATGGGTTCCATTGTGTACTACTACCAGCTTTGAGATAAGATGCTGTATGTAAACAAAGCTTGGAGATGCTGTACTATCTACCAACAATATGTCCATCACAAACTTCAGTAACAAAATTCATACAAACTTCAGTAACAAAAGACAAACATTCCTATAAGTTGCTCAGGCCTTTGACTATAACAAAATTTTAGAAAATGGAGCAACAATATGTCCATCACACCAACACAGCAACACAATTACAGAAGCAAGAAAAACATCATGAAACTGATACAAACACGAAGAAACATTCCTACAAGTTGCTCAGTCATTTGGCTATAACACAGAGCAACAATATCAGGACAACGATAATAATAACTTTTAAATATAAAATTACATCCTTCAGCATTTTATTCAATGCCTCTACATTTTTTTCCAGCTTTTCCAGCCTTTTTGTGATGTTCTTGGTATCACCCACCCATTCGAAGAAGTCGCAACCCTTTTGATTAGGTCCCTTGTATCTCGGGCATCCATAAAATTCGAAGCCCTTATTGCGTCCTTGCTTGCACATCGATATTCTGCAAATTAACCCACAATAACATCTTCTTTCAACTAAACCCTCATCTTCTTCTCTACTGAACTCTTCCGAAAAGTTCTTCATCTTTTATCTGCAACAAACATACCATAAACAAGATTTTATTCATGCAAAAAGTCAATTTAACTTTTCCTTCTTAGAAAATGACTCACTCATACTTGTGGACTTTTTTCTTCTGCAATTTATCTCAGCCATAATTTGTTCCAGGCAATTTATCTCACTTTATGTAATGTATATCACACCTACCATCAAAATTACTCAATTTATTCCAGTATCAACTTCACAACATGTATAATTCTCAACAACTTGGTTTATTTAACATATCAAAAGTTCTTTCAACAACTGGAATAAATTGTCAGCACATATATCTCTAATTAGGTCTCTAATTTGAATAGGTTACAGTACAATTGGTTGTGGTCCAGTTTTCCTTCAAGAGGTACAAGAATCACAAAGAAAACCCTCACAAATAAAACCCTGATTATCACAAAGAAAACCCTGAATTTGTTCATACAAAAGGCAATTTATTCCAGTATCAAAATTACTCAAAATTACTGAATTTGTTCCAGGCCCTTATTGTATATCACACTTTATGTAATTTGTTCCAGGCAATTTGTTCCAGCCATAATTTCTTCTGCAATTTATTCCAGTATTCAATTCTTACAAATTTTGGGCAGAGAGTGAGGTAGGTTTGGGGAAGAACTGCCTGTTAGATCTTGGTGGCCGGGGATCGGAACAGATCCTCGGTCGGAGCTTCGATGGGAGAACCACTGAGCTTGAGCGTCCGAGAGTTGGGAGGGGTTGGACGACGACTTCGAAGGAGCTTCGGCGAGAGCTCGACGTGAGACTGACAAGCAGAAGATAGCAGAAAAAAAAAGCAATTAAGACATGAAGATGAGTGAGATGTTCATGGGGAAGAACTGACCTGTTTAGACTTGGTCGGCGGGGGATCGTAACCAGATCATCCGGCGTCGGAGCTTCCGATGGGGGGCCACGAGCTTGAGCGTCGAGAGTTGGGGGAGGGTTCGACGACCGGACTTCGAGGGGGCTTCGGCGGGAGCTCCGACGTGAGCTGGAAGATCGGGTCGAGCTCCGTCTGCGGTAGCGACTTGGATCGTCAGGAGGGGGGGCAGCTCATTTGGGGAAGGACCAACGTTGAAATAGGTCCAGGGGAGGAGAGAGATAATAAAGGCTCACGGAGCTTTTTTTCCCAAGAAAAAACCCTGAGCTGAGGAGTCCTCCAATCGCGATGGTCCGTGCAGCTCAAGGCTCAGGAATTTTTCCTGCGCTCAAGCTCAGGATCCAGTTTTCCCATAATATATATATATATTATATATTTATATATATAGTGAGAAATATGTAGAACTTAGTACCAAGTTCTTGTATTGAAGCTTGGGTAGTGAGGTGGTCAAATCACCCCCCTAAATCACACCTTGGAAAAGAAGCCTCTTTTTAAAAGTTATGTGAATAGTGATTGAGGCTCTCTCTTTCAAGGGTGTGATGTAGGGTGGGATTTGCACCTACTAACAAGTTCAATAGAGAAAAACTTGGTACCATGTTTCTCCATATAAAATATATAATAGTATATAATATATATATATATACTATATATATATATAGTATATATATATATATATATTATATAATTATATATATTATATATAAAATTAATCATATATATATATATATATTATATAGAGAGAGGAGAGAGAGAGAGAGAGAGAGAGAGAGAGAAGAGAGAGAGAGAGAAGAGAGAGTGAGAGAGAGAGAGAGAGAGAAATATGGGTGTATATATATATATATATAATATAATTCTCATATATATATATAATACATATATACTATATATATATATATATATATTATATATATATATATATTTATATATATATATAAATATATATATATATATATATATTAATATATACTATATATATGTGACAAGTTGTGCGTGTGTGTGTATTATGAGAGAGAGAGAGAGAGAGAGCTTATGTCAACTTAAGTGGATCATCCATCACAAGTTTTCTATCCATTGATGATACTAGAGATCCGTGCATCATATGAAGAGACTTTTCATCAATAGATAGAAACTTTGGGTGGATGGTCCACTTAAGTTGACATAAGTTTTTCTATATATATAGATGCTGTCAGCCACAGGGCTGTGAGTTGGCCAGCTCATCTTTTTTTTCCCCTTATATATATATATTATAATAATATTATAATTAATATCGTATATAGTATATATAATATTTTTATAGTTATATATATATAGTAGAGAGAGCAGAGAGAGAGAGAGAGAGAGAGAGAAGAGAGGAGAGAGAGTATGTCCTGGTACCCAAGTAAATTTTTGTGCTTGGTAGTGAGGTGACACATTCCCTCCACTCATCTCAAATGGGGGACCACATCACATGGTTGAGAAGTGCATGGAGATAATGTTAACCCATTTGAAATGAGTGAAGAGGATTAGCCCTTACTACCAAGCATAATTTTTTATACTTGGTACTAAATATATGAGAAAAATGGGTAATGCTTGGTACCAAACACAAAAAGTTATGCTTGTAAGTGAGTGACATAATACACTACGCTTATTCAAATGGTTACATAATCTGCATGCACTTCTCAACATATGATATGAGTCCCCCATTTGAAATGAGTTGGAGAGATTGTGAACCTCACTACCAAAGCGTAAATTTTATGCTGGTACCAGAGCAATACCATATATATGATATTATTAATATATAATATATGATATATAATAAGAGGAGAAGAGAGAGGCAGGAGAGAGAGAGAGAGAGAGAAAGCAATATGGGATGCTTGGTACCAACGCACAAAAAGTTGTGCTTGGTAGTGATGTGTCACATCCCCCTCCACTCATTCAATATGGGAACCACATTCACATAGTGTAGTGAGTGGATGAGGATGTGACACACACTACCAATAAGCACAAATTTGTCTGGTACCAAGCTAACATTTTCTCAAATATATATATATATTATATATATACTACTAATTAGTATATCATGATAATATATATATATATAATATTTATAGCTATATATATATATAATATAATATATTAATATATATAGTACTACTTATATATAGTATATATAAAGAGAAGACGAGAGAGAGAGAGAGAGAGAGAGAGGAGAAGAGAGAGAGAGAGAAATGGTAAATGCTTGGTACCAAGCACCATAAAATGGGGCTTGGATAGTGAGGTGTCAATGTTGAATCTAATATTTGAGATCTAAATCTTAAAGCCATGATTTAATTCAAAGAGATTAACAAGAATCAAAAGGTACGGAAGCATATACCTGAATCCATTGAGGAAAACCTGATTAGGGTTTTGATGATCTTCTAACCTTAGGGTTTCTCCCTTATGGATCTCTTTAGATGAGGATAAGAGAATGAGAGTGGCTAACCCTAAATTAGGGACCATAACCCCATATATATAGGTGTTGTATATTTATAATTTGGCCCCTCATCAAATTACAATTACAACCTGGTATCTTCACATATAACCCCATGATTTATTTAAGTACCCATTAACCC